AAGGAGATTAAATGAAACTATTCGAAAAGTGTAGGATGTTTTTTGAGCATTTTTGGAATTATGCTTTTAAGTTTCGTTTGAATTCTTTTACACACTGTTATCGGTATATTGCGCTCTACCTCGGTTTTCACCGGGAGTTTTTTGATCGCTCAGCAGTTTCGATTCAAAATCACAAATTCAATTTCTTTGATGAAATTTGATTCAAATGTTTTTCCTGCTCATAATTTAATGACTTGCGGTTATCATTTAGAATGAAGAAAGTTCTTCACTGATCGCTAGTTAGTTTAAGTGGAAAACAGACGAGACATCGATCATAACATTTTGGGAAGACCAATTACTGAAATCAGAAATGTTTTCCGAGTCTGTGGAAAACTATGTTTAAAAAGAATAGAAAAGACAAAAAACTTGATCGAAATGTGTCCGAAATAATTAAAAAACTGAATTGCCTACTCTTGCTTCTTAAAGGATATACAAGATAAATTAGGCCTACTATCATGAACTATTCTTAAAGCATATCTTGGTCTCATTGATCAAAAAAACATATAACAGACAAATACTGCTGCATCCTTGTTCTACTTTTGACAATGTGAGGCCTGGATTTGTTTGAAACACACGAGTTTCTTTAATAGTTCGGAAGTGGAACACTACAATTTCCTGGCTCTAATTGTTGAATACAGCAGATGCTACGTCGGTGTTTAACAAAATTATCTAAAAACTACCAAAAAAATTAAGCTAATAACGAAAAAACTCATACTGTTACTCTTAATTTTATAACAATCAAAAAGTTTTTTCCCGAACAGTGTTATCTTGTACCGCTGGGATGTAAGAAATTGAAGAACAAAAATTAGAGTAGACAATTCAGCTATGGCAACAATTGAGGATGTTAAAACTGTATACCTAATATTCATAAGGTTTATTATTGAAGTTTTAGTATGTTTGTGTAAAGTTGGACTGACTGTATCGAACATGCGCATCTGAAAAAAGGCCTGTTTTGTTAACGTACCTCATTTTTTGAAATTAGTGGGTAGTCGATCTTTTTGAAGAATTGTTGATGTAACGCTAATTTGGTTAATTTTTTTGCCATTACTGAAATTTTTTTACGGGGCCTCTATTTAGTGCTGCCGACTTGGACTCTAAACTTTTTGTTCCGACCGTTTTGCAAAATTTGTATAAGTATATGTATTTGTATTTGGTTGTGTTTTAGTTTTTTTTTCAACGCAAAATCAGGTACCACCAATAATCATCAGAATGGGTTGAGTGATATGCCAAGTTGAAGCCCTTTGCTATTCAAACAATTTTGAAAAAATTTCAGTTTTGAGGAAAACTGGTTTAAAATGTTTGATTTTTTTTAGTTTTGAGCTAATAAGCGAGCGAACAGGCATAAAATAGCTAATTTATGCTTAATTTAAGCCGTGAAAGTTTTTTTTATGGATTTAAGTTGGTTTATGGAGCTTGCTTGCGCCATTTTGGAAATCAAAAAACTTTTTAGTTTTTTTAGTTCACAAAACTTCTGCTGAAAAGCTTGAAATTATTGATCGTTTTTCTCTAAATCATTTTTTTTGTTTTCTTTCAAAATCACAATTTCAATTTCTTCGATGAAATTTGATTCAAATGTTTTTCCTGCTCATAATTTAATGACTTGCGGTTATCATTTAGAATGAAGAAAGTTCTTCACTGATCGCTAGTTAGTTTAAGTGGAAAACAGACGAGACATCGATCATAACATTTTGGTAAGACCAATTACCGAAATCAGAAATGTTTTCCGAGTCTGTGGAAAACTATGTTTAAAAAGAATAGAAAAGACAAAAAACTTGATCGAAATGTGTCCGAAATAATTAAAAAACTGAATTGCCTACTCTTGCTTCTTAAAGGATATACAAGATAAATTAGGCTTCCTATCATGAACTATTCTTAAAGCATATCTCGGTTTCATTGATCAAAAAAACATATAACAGACAAATACTGCTGCATCCTTGTTCAACTTTTGACAATGTGAGGCCTGGATTTGTTTGAAACACACGAGTTTCTTCAATAGTTCGGAAGTGGAACACTACGATTTCCTGGCTCTTATTGTTGAATACAGCAGATGCTACGTCGGTGTTTAACAAAATTATCTAAAAACTACCAAAAAAATTAAGCTAATAACGAAAAAACTCATACTGTTACTCTTAATTTTATAACAATCAAAAAATTTTTTCCCGAACAGTGTTATCTTGTACCGCTGGGATGTAAGAAATTGAAGAACAAAAATTAGAGTAGACAATTCAGCTATGGCAACAATTGAGGATGTTAAAACTGTATACCTAATATTCATAAGGTTTATTATTGAAGTTTTAGTATGTTTGTGTAAAGTTGGACTGACTGTATCGAACATGCGCATCTGAAAAAAGGCCTGTTTTGTTAACGTACCTCATTTTTTGAAATTAGTGGGTAGTCGATCTTTTTGAAGAATTGTTGATGTAACGCTAATTTGGTTAATTTTTTTGCCATTACTGAAATTTTTTTACGGGGCCTCTATTTAGTGCTGCCGACTTGGACTCTAAACTTTTTGTTCCGACCGTTTTGCAAAATTTGTATAAGTATATGTATTTGTATTTGGTTGTGTTTTAGTTTTTTTTTCAACGCAAAATCAGGTACCACCAATAATCATCAGAATGGGTTGAGTGATATGCCAAGTTGAAGCCCTTTGCTATTCAAACAATTTTGAAAAAATTTCAGTTTTGAGGAAAACTGGTTTAAAATGTTTGATTTTTTTTAGTTTTGAGCTAATAAGCGAGCGAACAGGCATAAAATAGCTAATTTATGCTTAATTTAAGCCGTGAAAGTTTTTTTTATGGATTTAAGTTGGTTTATGGAGCTTGCTTGCGCCATTTTGGAAATCAAAAAACTTTTTAGTTTTTTTAGTTCACAAAACTTCTGCTGAAAAGCTTGAAATTATTGATCGTTTTTCTCTAAATCATTTTTTTTGTTTTCTTTCAAAATCACAATTTCAATTTCTTCGATGAAATTTGATTCAAATGTTTTTCCTGCTCATAATTTAATGACTTGCGGTTATCATTTAGAATGAAGAAAGTTCTTCACTGATCGCTAGTTAGTTTAAGTGGAAAACAGACGAGACATCGATCATAACATTTTGGTAAGACCAATTACCGAAATCAGAAATGTTTTCCGAGTCTGTGGAAAACTATGTTTAAAAAGAATAGAAAAGACAAAAAACTTGATCGAAATGTGTCCGAAATAATTAAAAAACTGAATTGCCTACTCTTGCTTCTTAAAGGATATACAAGATAAATTAGGCTTCCTATCATGAACTATTCTTAAAGCATATCTCGGTTTCATTGATCAAAAAAACATATAACAGACAAATACTGCTGCATCCTTGTTCAACTTTTGACAATGTGAGGCCTGGATTTGTTTGAAACACACGAGTTTCTTCAATAGTTCGGAAGTGGAACACTACGATTTCCTGGCTCTTATTGTTGAATACAGCAGATGCTACGTCGGTGTTTAACAAAATTATCTAAAAACTACCAAAAAAATTAAGCTAATAACGAAAAAACTCATACTGTTACTCTTAATTTTATAACAATCAAAAAATTTTTTCCCGAACAGTGTTATCTTGTACCGCTGGGATGTAAGAAATTGAAGAACAAAAATTAGAGTAGACAATTCAGCTATGGCAACAATTGAGGATGTTAAAACTGTATACCTAATATTCATAAGGTTTATTATTGAAGTTTTAGTATGTTTGTGTAAAGTTGGACTGACTGTATCGAACATGCGCATCTGAAAAAAGGCCTGTTTTGTTAACGTACCTCATTTTTTGAAATTAGTGGGTAGTCGATCTTTTTGAAGAATTGTTGATGTAACGCTAATTTGGTTAATTTTTTTGCCATTACTGAAATTTTTTACGGGGCCTCTATTTAGTGCTGCCGACTTAGACTCTAAACTTTTTGTTCCGACCGTTTTGCAAAATTTGTATAAGTATATGTATTTGTATTTGGTTGTGTTTTAGTTTTTTTTTCAACGCAAAATCAGGTACCACCAATAATCATCAGAATGGGTTGAGTGATATGCCAAGTTGAAGCCCTTTGCTATTCAAACAATTTTGAAAAAATTTCAGTTTTGAGGAAAACTGGTTTAAAATGTTTGATTTTTTTTAGTTTTGAGCTAATAAGCGAGCGAACAGGCATAAAATAGATAATTTATGCTTAATTTAAACCGTGAAAGTTTTTTTTATGGATTTAAGTTGGTTTATGGAGCTTGCTTGCGCCATTTTGGAAATCAAAAAACTTTTTAGTTTTTTTAGTTCACAAAACTTCTGCTGAAAAGCTTGAAATTATTGATCGTTTTTCTCTAAATAATTTTTTTTGTTTTCATTTTTCTATAATTTTTCTACAAAAATCGTATTCCCGTTTGCTTGTTTTATTATCGAATATGCTGGAGTTCTAGAAAAACAACTTTTTTCAATAAAAAACTATGGTCGGAACACTCTGTGCTACTTGCACTGTAACCGATTTTCATTGTTTTTTTTAGATATGGATGCTTATTGAAAGTTTTGACAGTTTCATAATACGTAAACGTTTTGAAACTTCTGGGGTTGTTGTTTTCGTTTCTGCAGCATAGCTGCTTGTTTATGCTCATTCTATAGGTCGCTAGTTAAGGCTCAAAATATGTTACTCTAAAAAGTTTGTAATGTATCCATGATTTTTTCCACACGTTGTTCATTTGAAGCTATTTGGGGCGTCGATAGATTTTTCTTGTAAATGGTTTCCAGTTGACTAGAATTTTCAGTAAAGGTTTCAGACAAAAAATATTAGACTACCGGACATTTTAGTTTTGAGATATAGATGTTGCATTATTCTTCAGATATTCGGTGAAGTTTGATTCTTGTTTTCTGAAATCGTTTAAATTTGGAAACCTTTTGTGGATTATGCATATGGTTTTCAAATCATCTGTGCGTTTTTTCGAAAAAAAATTTTTGACTGTTTTTTTTTTAGAAAAAGCGACCGGAGAAGGACTCGTGGCAGAAAACTGGGCGTTGAACTTTGAAATATGCGACAAATTGAACAGTTCTGGCGAAAAAGGGTAAAAAAAATTATGACAGTAATTTATATGTATTCAGTTTGTCTGAGTCATGAAGCTGTATTTAAGGTGCAAGGAAGCTGTCAAGTTAATGGTGAAGAGATTGCTCAATAAAAATCCACGAGTCGTCTACCACACACTAGTTGTAAGTTAGAATTCAAAATCATGTACTAAAATGTCAAAATCTCATTCGGTTGTGTTTGCATCTAAAAGCAGATGTGAATAAAGTGACGTTTTGACCTAATAAACTGCTGTAGCCCACGTGAACAATCTCTGGAAGAATCAATCTGATATCAACCAAATGAATTTGGTTGGATGACAAATACTGGTTCCCATTAGAACAATATGATGGCGCAGCCAAGTGAACTTTATCCCCACTGAACTGGGGTCTTTTGGTCCGTACTTGATGTAAGCCTCATATATGTGGCTTTCAAAAGATGTAAAACTTAAAGGACCTGCTTGCACCCCGGCTAACGCGTTTAAAAAGCTGAAACAATCACTGGTAGCACAAAATTCAAAAAGCGTATGTGACGCCTGTGATTTTGCGAATAGGGTCGGAGTTCTATATGCCTCGCTGTTTGCGATGGTAAAATGTTGGAATTGCTGTTTTATCTTTGCAATTAGCAAGGGTGTTGCAACTGGGTACTAGACTTTTTTTCACTTGAATAACTTTGTCACAGAATTCACACTTGAAATTTTTTTTCACATGTTTTACTTGCTTCATTATAAAGTTAAATTCATGGGGCATTTACCGCAGTTGTAACAGGCATGTGACGACAAAGCCGGGGAGTTCCATTCCAATTGGGACCTGTTTTTTGAGGACAAACTGAAAATTTTCTGCTATCGTTCGTCTGCCATTTTGTTGGCTATGATCTCACAGAAAGGTATTTTTGACGGTTCAGTTTCTTTTTTTGCATTCCGAAAGCTCCTTGAAAAGTCTTAATTGTTCCGTTAATTTTTCTGGATTTCTACAATTTTTATTGGCAAAAAAATGAAAGTTTTTGAAAGTTTTTTTAATCAGTTTTGTTTTGCGTTTTCATTCGTTTTTAATCATAGTCATTCATTTTTGTATCGCAAGTGGCGCGAAGATCAGCTTCGCATCTGTGTTTAATTTTTTTAATTTTCTTTTTTAGCAATAAGCGATTTTTAATAATTCGCTTCTGTTTAGCTGATGGAAACCTGTGGAAAGAACTGTGGACGTGAGTTTCTGCTCAATGTTTCCACGCGGGAATTTTGCCAAGAAATACAGAGTCTTCTGAACAAAGTGGTTTGTAAAAAATTGGAGAGCATATATCGTTTGCTTTGTAAACTTTCGGGGAGATCAAATAGGTCAACGCAATTTAAAATACTTGGATCTCTGTAACTATCCCCCCCTTTTGCAAAGGGTAGAGATTCATAACTAGCTACAAGATTCGCATGTGCTTAACCATTGATATATTTCTTTATAGGGGTGGTAATTTGTTACTAGGTACACGAGGGGGGATAGTTAAGAGATCCAAAGACTTAATGGTTGGGCAATGAGGGATGTAGAAATGGCATTTTTCTGGCGCGAATCATAGTGTATTTTCCCGTATCCGTCGAAATTTATTTCTGACGCAAAATAGTTGTTCTGATAGCTTCAGATTTTTGTAACTAAGTAACTACATTAATTTAAATTTGTTCAATGCAATCCCTCTAATTTCGAAAAGCGCAAAAAATTAGTTGATTTCTCAGGAAAAATGATTTGCTGAATAAATCTGTTTAGAAAAGCAAAGATGGGCGGGTATCTGTATGATGAAAACTTGTATATTTTTGATTGATTTCCATGATTTCATTATTGACCATACTCTTTTTGAATCAACATCGATATTGAATAATTTTGTGCCAGGCTGAATTTAGAGAGGTATTGGAATAAGAAAATAGACAGGCAGCAAATCAGACTATAAAAGCAAGTCTGTCTGGTATAGATATGATACTGTTTAAAACGAATGTCATGTCATTTTGAAATCAGCATTGTCTGATAAGCAATATTTTGAGCAAACAAAAGTTGTCTAAAATTGTTTTCTAAAAAATTGGTCAACGTATAATAGTAGGAAAATTTATCTGTTGATTTGCTTGTCTTTTGGAATGACTTTTTGCTGGTATATTACTGTTAAAACTATTTCAAGTTAAGCGCTAGAAGTTCTTCCAAGTTATAGTTCCAATAGAATTTATTATGTCGCCCTTTTGTTAGAAGAAGTCTTTCCAGCTTTTCATAAGTCTAAATACCCCTGCTATCACCATAGGTCTGATAATTAAGAACTCATTTTTTCGTAAAAGTTGTGAAGAAATACAGCATATCTCAAAAATACGCCAATATTCTCAACAAAATCAACAATGTAATGAGTTTATGCTAGGGTAGCTTACTCATAGAGTAATTTCAGATAAGGTACACCGTCTGTTTGTCACGCTATCTTATTTTCGGCCGGATAGATTCGTGCAACTTCTTAGTCTAATACCAATCTTAATCTTACTCTTATATCTCCTAGTCTCAATAGATCTAGTGTATACTAGTATTTGCGGGTTAGATATCTGGAACTTGTTCCAAAGGAGAACAACTGTCTTATAAGTTATTTTTAAATGGTTCTGGTGCTGAAACTACAAGTAGTTTCAACATAACAATTAATTGTCAGTGTTAAATATGGATCATGATTAATTAATAAGAAATATTTTTAGAGATAGTTTTATCAATATTGAAATTGGATATGAATACTAGTTTTAAACTGGTTCCACCCATCCGGGGCTTGTTTTTGGTTTTAAGATTGTTTATTGTAGTTAAAGATGGATGGAGAGATTTCTTTGTTCTTCGGAATAGTTTTCTTTTGAAGCAGTGACTGCGTGAAGGAAGGAGTGATGTAGTTGTCTCCGTAGAGAGAAGAAGGGCAGTTGTTCGTGTTTCAGTAGTGGGTCTCGTTTTATCCTAGATCGTCTTGAGTGATTGTGTCAAGATTTAGATTGATGCAATGATGTGCCGATTTCGTTAAGCTAGAGCGAGACTACGTGCAAGATGAAGTTTGACCTTTCTGTGTGTCTAGGATCTGTATAGATACTAGGATCTGTATGTGAAGTCAACATCGAGTCGGCCATTGTTCTTCTTCGATTGGTTCCTTTGCTGCGATGTTGGGTCCATACTTCAAATCCTGTGAGGGTTGTGACTACGGCAACGAACCAATAGAATTGCCATTCCAAAGTCGGAATGTCCTGGAGTTTTAATCTTCCTTTGTTGCTCGTTCCGTTTGCTCTAAGAAATTTTTTTACATTGCTTATTAAATCTATATCTTGTTAGTAAAATCAGTTTTACTTATGATATTTTATTAGTTGTGTTCGCAAAAGCGTTTTTATTTAGTTTTGGTTCTTTTAAAGAGTCGCTCACCCTAGAGCAACTCTCGTCAAAAATAGAGAGTGGGTCATAAGTGTGGTGTAGCGAAAGTGGTGAGACCGGCTACAGAGCATGCTCAGGACGTCCTACTGGTGGGTTAGGCCAGTTGAGGGAGTATAATTTTATCGTCTCTTTGAGCAGAGTCTCTTGTGTTCAACTTTTTGTTCTTTTTATCAGGTGTTCTCTTTTTCGTTTTGGTTGTCCTTTTATCAAAAACAGATTGTGGTGTTTTGGGTTTTTCTTTTGAAATTTTGGTGTTTTATGTGGCTCAATAAAACTTGAAATTGGGTTTCAAAAGAACAATTTATCCAGTTATTTCTGAATTTAATCTGGTCTGAGTAACGTGGAACTTTCTTATACATGCGGTTCGTTTTGTGGTATTAGTAAGCTGCGTTTGTTAGCTTAAGTTTTCTTATAATTCCTTCCAACCGGGTTAAAGGAAAGTTTGAAACGCGTGAAAACAAGTTAGAGTTGTTATCAGTTATCGTTGAAGCTTAAAATTCTTTTAATAAACAGTTCTACGTGGGCAAGTTGTGCGAGTTTGATAGATAGAGTTTGTGAAATGTGGTAATTAAATAGATAGAGTAAATGACAAATATTGAGTTATAAAAGAAGCACACATAAAAAGGTTGGTTTCTTGTAGTTTGTTTGCATTTTAATAATTTACTACTTCAAATTTGTTTAATTTTACAGAATTATGAATTTATCGCATTGGTTAGGAAATTTACTGCACTTGGTTAATTCATCTTCATAGATTAAATTTTTAAAAACTATAAAAAGTGTGATTTTTTTATTTGCTTTTTTTAGATGAATGATCTGTGAAATCTAAAAGAAAAAGAAATGTGAAAAACACGTGTAATAATGGTGACTGTCATGTTTTATTTATTATTGTTAATAATAAAGTTCATACTTACGAGGGTTCTATTTCAGGGAAAAATCCATGGGGGAAGTTAGTTTTGGTCGTGTCAGATGTTTCGAGAAGCTTGGCGAGCATGCGGATTATGTTTTTAAGCAGAGGCCAAATAAGTTCAACTGTTCTGATGATGTTTACTTCTTCGGTAAGCGTTGAAAACTCATGATTCGTGTTTTGGATATGATTGTAAAGCTTTTGATTAAATTTAGTGTTGTGAATGTATTCGAGTAGGGTTATCTCAATTGAACGTCAATCTAAATTTGAGCGTCAAGGAGGATTTTATTATAATTCCAAAAAAATCCTGCCAATAAAATGCGTGCTAAGCTTGCTTGTCTATTAACTTGTATGTGTATATGAGAAATCTGCTGTTTCGGCTAGTTTCGTAAGTTTTCATCAAGTGATTGTCTTTGTATTGTATCCATTTTAGTGAGGAGTTCTTGAAATTGTTTCGTTGGGATGTGATGCTGTACGTCGAATTTAAGAGTAAATACCTATTGATTGTAGATCTATGTTTATGTTACGAGTAATTGTGCGTATGCTCTCGGCCGGAAATTTCTTTAAAAGTGACATTAGTGTAGAATATGGGGTGAGAAGATCATATTGGTTCTTGTAGCTACACGTTGTAGCTATTTTCAGTATTAGGTTTTGTTTATTTTGACCAGTATTATATTGATGTACTTGATGATTGATAGAAAAACCATATACATGTCTTGACAGTGGCTTCAAATGTTTTCGTTGTTGATTATATTTAAGATAAAATTTTGTTTAAATTGGGTGTTGCTTATTTAATCTTTGGAAGAATGTTAGAGATGTACTATTTAGTTTTGGTATATTTGTCTTTGATATGTAATTTACTATTTAAGATGTTTCTAGTTAGGATATATTCAGTAATAAATGGGATTCCAACGATTTTGTGTTTTATGTCTGTTATGTGGAATATTTGCTTGAAGGGTTTATATAAAAGTTTGTTTTGTTCCATCGTTCGAGTTGGAATAAGAAATGATGAATTTTTCCATAACTTGTTGGACTTATACCTTGTGCAGTGGCTAGTTTATATGAGGTTTTGGAAGGGGAAAGTTTTGGATGTAGAATTTGCATCTCATTCCAAGTTGGAATATTATTAATTTTTGATTCTGCACCAGAGTCGGTTAAAAAAAACTATTTCAAGATCTGGTGCTTTTCGGGCTTTTTAAAAGAAATGGGATTCTCCAAACTTTTTTCTTTTGGTGGTGATATTTTACTTGTTGTGTTTTGGTATATGGTGTTCATATTGGAGTTGGTTTCAACTATTTGTGGGGTGTAATTTGTTTTTTCTTGATTTTTTTCTGGTTCTTGAGGACAAGAACTAACAATTTCTTGTTGGTAATAATTCAATTCGGTTGGTGTTTCATATTCATTTTCTACCTTGAGCATATTTATAATGAGCATGTTTTCCGTATTACTTTCGTTATCTTTGGTTTCACAGTATATGTGGTTTAATTGTAGTTCTGAAGTTTCTGTGTTGTCTCTACCTGGAGGGTCTGAATTTGTTTCATCTGTAGATTGTACTTGATTAAGTTGTCTTTGATGCTTTGGTGTACTGGTTCTATAGTTCTGTAGTTGGTGTATTGTTTGAAAATTGAATATTTTTTCGATGTGGGTACTGAGAATAGTTTCTTGATCTGTAATGATAGTTGTTGTTTCTGTTTCTAGAATTATCACGGGATCTAATATTATAAGAATGATAATATGGTCTATCGTTGGAATATTTTAGTGATCTATTATTCGAATAGTTTCGGTTTCGATTATTTGAATAGGTTCGATTTCGGTTGTTTGAAGATTTTCTTGAACGGTCATTGGAATAGTATCTATTTCGAGAGTTTGAATAAGTACGGTTACTATTTGTGGTATTTTGATATATATTGTTCATGTTTGAGTTATTTTCAACAACGTGTGGAGTATAATTTTTTGGGGTTAA